GCCATTGCTTGACCAATTTGCTCTCTGTGAAAGCCTGAGAGAATGTTTTCTCTCCATGTGACTCTCCTTAGGCACACTCTACATCATTGATCACCTTCCGCTGTGGCCCCATAATCTCCTTGATCAGAAAATCTGGGATACAACTGAATTACATGATGTTACAGTACAGGTTTTCCAATGTCCTGAGTCTTCACTGACCTTGAAAACCACACCCAGTCTCAATTGCCGTCTCAGCACGCCCTGGATGTGGGGCTGGCATGGCAGGCCCAGAGATCGAACCCCTGGCCCCTGCGCCTGTTTGCCAGCACTTTAATCTGCTGAGGTATTTGGCCAGCCCAAGAAATCTTAAATTTTTACCTTGTCTTTTCTTTTAAATTTATTTTAAAGCAATTGTAATGATAATTGATAAGACATTGGAAACAGTACACATTTAGAAGACCAAGATAAGAAACATTCAACCATGGGTTTTTATTGTGCATTGTTGTTCTGGGGCTGAACATATAGCTCAGCAGATTATACTGCCTGCTTCAGCAGACGCAGGGACCGGGGTTCGCTATCCCTGGTGTGCTGTGCTGGCCCCGCCCCTGGGATGCACTGAGACTAGGCGTGGTGGGGCACACCTGTAATCCCAGCACTTTGGTGGCTGAAAACAGGAGGATCATTACGAGTCCCATCTGTGTAGTGAGACCTTGTAGACCCTGTACTAAATTACACATTGCTGTCCTTGATGTAGTTGCTCAGATGGCAGATATCAACATAGAGTTAGGGTGAAAATTCTAAGTATTAACCACTATTTTGAAAACACTCATGAAAATTATTAGTACAATCATTTCAACCATCCTGTATGTATACTTGCATGATTTCCCCCCCCTTCTCCTATCTTTTCTACTTTCTCTCATCTTTGTTGTTTAATCCTTACGTTCTGTTTCTTTCCATTTTACTATATTATACCTTTCAGATTTTATATATTATTTCAGGTTCTTACACTAGGGAGACAATACAACATTTACATACATGGGTCTGATTTATTTCACTTATGAGTATAGCCTCCAGTTGCATCCACTTACCTATAAAGGCTTTGAGGTTTTTTAATAGCTGAGTAGTACTCCACTGTATAAAAATACTCCATGTTTTTCATCAATTCCTCAAGTGATGGGAATATTAGTTGCTTCCTTGGCTCTGACAAATTGTGCTCATATAAACAAGGATGCACATATATCACTATGGTATAATGTTTTCCGTTGTTTTGGAAAAATACCCAGAAGGGGAATAACTGGACTGAATGGGATCTCCAGTTCTAAGTTTAAGATGAGTCTCCACACTGATTGCCATAGTGGTTATACCAGTGTACATTCCCACCAGCAGTGGAGAAGGGTTCCTTTTTCACCACCCCCTCTCTAGTATTTGTTATTAGTTGATTTCTTTATGATAGCCATTCTTTCTGGGGTTAGATGGTATCTCAGTGTTGTTTTAATTTGCATTTCTCGAATGGCCAGTAATGTTGAACTTTTTTTCACGTATTTAATTGCCATTTGTATATCTTGCTCTGAGAAGTATATATTCATCTCACATGCCTATTTTTGGATTGGGTCTTTAAATTTTGGAAGCGTAATTTTTTTTAGTTCTTTATATACTTTAGATAAAAGTCCTTTGCTTGAGTGATTTTTGGTTATGATTTTTCCCCTATTTGTGAGTTGTCTTTTCACTCTGTTGGTGATTTCTTTGACATGTAGAAACTTCTCAATGAGATGAGATCCCAGTTGTTGATTCTTTGGAGTATTTCCCGTGCAGATTGTTTTGATCCTGAACTGTGGCCTACTTCTATGTCTTCAAGATTTGCACCAACTTTCTCTCCCTGGAGATTTAGTGTTTCTGTTTCAATGTTTAGATGTTTAATCCATTTTGACTTTACTTTAGTGCATGGTGATGGACCCGGGTCTAGTTTTAGTTTTCAGGATGTGGAAAGCTAGGTCTCCAGCACCATTTGTTAAAGAGGCTGTCTTCCACTGAAAATCTTTGACCCCTTTCTGAAAGATAAGGTTGATGAGTGTGTTTGTAGTTGTATCTGGATCTTCTAATCTGTTCCATTGATCCTCAAGTCTTTTTTTACCAGTACCATGTTGATTTTACCACAGAAGCTTTGTAGTATAATTTCAACTCAGGGATTGTAATGCCTCCTGCCTTGCATTTGTTGCCCAGGGCATTGTTTTCACCTTTATTTTAAAAAGGATTTAAGGACCAATGAGATGGCCCAGCAGACTAAGTAAGTACAGAGATCACAGTTCAATCCCCAGTACCACATGCCACACCAGCTCTGCCCCAAGGCTCTCTGAGATAGCTAGCACCAAGACCCAAAGTGGTGGTCCAACGTGGTAGCACCTCTGTAATCCCAATGTTGGTAGGCTGAAAACAGGAAGATCACTATGAGTCCAAGCTGTGTAGTAAGACCTTGTACCAAATACATTAAAAAAAATTACAGTTTAATCACTGACCATTAAATGATATGCTAGTTTTAGGGGCTTTTATACTTGCCATTTTACAGATTCAGAAAATGATATTTTATTCCTGATGTTTGTAATTTTTAATATCAGCAGTGGAATTTGCATCTTGTCAAATGGTTTTTGCTATACTTTAATATGATCCTGTCAAGTTTTTTCTCCACCTAGATTACATTGGCTGATTTTTAATTAGTGAAAGAGCAATCCCTGAAGTCCTGTGATTGTGGTTTATGGTGATATTGCTAAATTAAAACTATTATTTTTCTGTTCAACTTTGTACATGTGCTAAGACAATATGTGTCTGTAGTTTTCATGCAATCAGTGCAATGCTAACATCAAAAAATAATTCACTTTTCTGGGCCTCATGATCGTTGTGTAAAGGTTTTTAATGACCAGTTCAATTTCTGTAAAAGATGTAAGACTGCATACACTATGATCTTTGGTGAACTTTGGTAGATTACAATTTCCTACTTATGGGCCCATTTTGAGTGTAAATAAGTAAATTTATAGCATTTACTTATTTGAAGCGCATGGCAGAATAAGTATGTTGACCATTTTCTGGAACTATAGTGAAATCTCTTCTTTATTAGTGCTCTTCATAAATTGCTTCCTTCCTCTCTTTATTCCTGGTACAAGTTTATAAGTAGTATTTGAGTCATTCAGTATGTCCCTCTGTATCTTTTTGTTTGTGCTCTCTTGATTCTGTCTCCTATTTCTCATTAAGGAAATTCCTGTTTACACACATTTAGAGTTTTTCTTAGATGTAAAGCTAGAGGTCCCAAGGGTGTCTCACCATTGTACACATACTTTCAATTTAATAAATGTCTACTTTATGAAAGTTTGTGCTGGTCACACATTGCTCATTCCTAATATTTTTGAGAGTAGTTTGGAAACATCAGCAAAGCTGGTTGTGGTGCCACTCAAGAGCTGAAAAAAAGAAGCTGAGGTAGGATAATCATGGGTTAAAATCCAGCCTAGAGAATGTAGTGGGACCCTGTCTTAAAAGCTTAAAAATGAATAGAAAGAGCTGGGGTATGAATCAGTATTTAGAGCACCTGAGGTTTGTTACCTACTATGGGAGGGAGGAAAAAAGCAAGCACTTCATTCTTCATATCTCATCATTACACATTACAATGATTAATGTTTTTTCTACAACCTTTGAGATCTACCATCAATATTCTAAGTTCTGGACATGTGTTACTTCATGTAATCCTCCTAGGAAGCATAGGAGATGTATCACATGATCAGCCCCATTTTGCACCTAGGAAGTAGAAGGAGAGAAAGTTCAAATGAAATCAATAGTCATGAGTTTTCCTTCTTCTTTTACCACCCTTCATTGCAGTGTGCAATCTTCTGGCTCTGTACTTTCATACCTCCAGTCTAGTTATTTGAACACCTCCAGCTTCACCTTCCCATCTAGACTGCAGGGCCTGGCAGAGCTTCTGGCTCAGACAAGACCTCCATGGATCCACTCCAGAAATGGAATCCAGGGCTGAATGCAGAAGCTTCCCAGATGGCTGCTGCAGAGAGCTCCCAGGAGGGGACAGCAATCTGTTGGCCTTCCTCCACAGGACAGCTAGTGATGGGCCTCAGTGACCTGAGCATCAGTCCTGGCTCCAACCCACCTGTGCCTCTGCGAGAGGGACTGTTCGAGCAGCAGTACAGGGAAGAGAAGACTCTGCCGGAGCAGCACTGGGAAAGGTTGGGGTTCCCTCAGAGGAAGAAAGCCTTCCTGGGGCACTTGAGACGCAGGCACCGTGATCACATGGTACCTTACCCAGTCGAAAGGGAAACCAGGGTCTCTTTCCCAGGCACTAGATCTCAGAATCAATTCAGATGCCAGTGTCAATACTGTCAGGCCCACACACCAAATATTTCTCGTGTCACTGGGGAGAGGAGTGGGACCCTCAACCCCTCCTCCTGGGAAACCCTCGTGCAAGGTCTCAGTGGCTTGACCCTTAGCCTGGGCAGCAATCGGCCTGGCCTCCAGCCAGGTGGGATGCAGCAGCAGCCGCCAGAGGAAAAGTACCAACTGGAGAGGCAACAGGAAAGCAAGAGCATGTTCCAGAGGCTGTTCATGCAGTGGTTGGAAGAAAACTGAGATGCTCATCCTCATGGGACAGAGACCTGTAGGGATTCAGACAGTTCCGTGTTGGCAGCTTTAGGGAGCTGAGCTGTTGATGGAGACCAGAAGTCACTGTTGGAAGAGGAGTCCTGAGACCTGTGTCCTCGTCTTTCCTGCCCGTCCTCCGTAGAACACTGAGAGGCATTCAGTGTGGAGACTGCACACCAGTGTTCCCCGCCTCCCCTCATCTGGCGCCCATGCTGCATGTTGTCGATTTCCCAGCCTAGATCTCCACCTCTGCTCGTTGTTGTCAGGAAGGCAAAAGATGTCTGTGTAGTGTGAATGCCTTGTTGATGCGTGCTTTTGTATCATGTTGCTGACTGCTACCAGGAGCAGCAGGTGCGCTCGAAATGGCAGTGCTTGACTCTGAGATCCAGGTGCAGACATCTGCTGCCACAAAGGTGTGGGAAAGAGATGTGGAATTAGAACCTGATGCTTCAGCATTGTGCTGTACGTGTAAACTATCATGACTGTAATACACTGACTGTGCTGTCCTGCTCCTTAGCAATCAAGTAGTATGCTCCCGTGCAAGACTTTGCCTTGGTACCTCATCGCTAATACCAAATAAACATATCTGTGAAAGCAAAGTAACGTTAGAACGCAGGTTTGTTTATCAGTAGTGGTTTGTTTCTCTTTGACTCTCACTCAGGTCACTACCCTGAAATCCCCAAGCAGCAGACCAGAGCATATCAAGAGGAGCTGTGCGCCTGGAGATTTGGAAGAGGGATGGGGCAGGCCCAGAGCAGTGCAGCTGCTATTTGAAGTGCCACAGTGAGACCAGCACTTATACCGGCCAAGCAGCGAGGCTGGGAGAAAGTCCTCTGATGCATAAGGGTGGGAGCAGAGGCCACTGCTCCCAGAAGGAGCCCCTGAGTGTTGGCACTGGTTCCCTGGACGAGGTTTCCAAGAGCCTTTCCTTGTCGCCTGGTCCACTTGGTCGGTGAACAGCATTTTCATGCCTGCTTTATTTGAAAGTCCTGCTGGAGTTTAGACATGTCTTTTAATTTCAAGAAGCCTGAATGATTGAATTTACCTTCTTTCCCCGTACAGGCAAATTAGATTTACCTTCTTTTCCCCTGCTTTTGTCCTATGATGTGCACTGAAGGCCAACCAGGGACCTGAGCTTCTTCCAAGCCCAAAACAAATTCTACATTGTGTCACTCTCTTTTTAGGAAAGCCCCAGGACTGCACTGCTGTAAAAATCTGTGTCTCCTGCTGGTAGAAGTGACCTGAGAACAGGTGAGTTTCTCAGATCAAAACTTGGGATCTCATCAGAGAACTTGAGAGTTAAGATGACTTTGTCAGGGTTGCTGCTCAGGTCCTGGGGACCAGACGTATAAAGGGCAGCTTTCCTTTCTTCATACTCGAAGGCCTAAAATCAGAACAGCAATTTGAAAGTGTGAAGAGTAGCATACTAGTTCACTCTCGTGACACTTACTCAGTGTTAGACTCCTCTGTGTGCTCCTGAAGGTTCACTCATTTCATCATCTCCCACAGACCCTCATTTACAACAGTTCCAGATCCACATTAGGGAATGCACCAAGGTCACACAGGTAGCAGAATGCCAAACTGACATATGAGCTTAGACAATCTGCACTGTAGCTAGCACAATTAACCCATTCCCCTGTGTGAGAACTGGGATGAAGTGAGGAGACGCAGTGACCTCAGAGGACAATTCATGCTTTTAAGGAGCAAGTCTAAGATGTCATGCTGAATCCTCACCACTATGCAATGAAATGGAGGTAAGTACTCCCACTTTACTGCAAGGTTGTGATGTACTGGCCAGAGACACAACCTTTCAGTTGACTCCCCATACACCAAACCACACCCTGCATACATTCTAGGCCAGTTTGTTGATCAAGAAATTTTATAGTGCCAGTGGAAGTCAAGCACTGAACCGATCACCAAGGTTTTCTCGCTTGACCGCTCTCCATTCTATACTATGCTGACTTCTGTGGTTGGGAAATGAGGAAGAATTGCAGAGCTGGTCCTAGCCCTTCAATATTGAGTATTACATTGATTAGATACTGTTTTAGTCCATTTTCTCCTGCTGTATCATAATACCACACTCTGGGTAGTTCATACACAAGATAATTTACTTCTACAATTCTGGATGTGGAGAAAGCCAAACTGAAGGTGCTGGTACCTGATGTCTTTTGAGAGCCTTCTTACTACATGCTCACATGGTAGAAGATTAAGTGGTGTTGGGGGTGCAGATATTGTTCTCACATGTCAGCAGAGCCAAACTCACCTACAAATCTTATGTCTATCCATTCACAGGGACAGTACCCTCCTGACCTAGTTATCTTCCATTTAGCCTGATTTCCTAACACTAGCCTTGGTGATCAACATTTATTGTGACTTCTGAAGGTGACTATAATATTCAAGCTTTGGTGTATACCGTGGAAGTATTTATGATAGAGCAGTTTATTCCTCATGTGGCATGGATTGCCAAAATATTACAGGGGATAGAAGAATCCCCATTGGGTAAAGAAGGCGTGGAGAGTTTGCTGAAGTATTGCTGCAAAGTGAATCAGAGCCTACTAAAGGTTGTTCAACTAATGCTAGAGGACACAAGTGAAGGAGTATTCACAGACCATAGCTCCATTTTCAAGTCTTGGTCTGCATCCCCATGTCTGGCATATAGGAGACGATCTGAAGGTGGCATCTGAGGCAATACCAAGCTACCGACTATGAGTTGGAATCTGATAATGTCTGATCATATTGAACATGTCCAATTCTAGACTAGGCACAGCATTAAAGGCACCAGCAGACAAGAAAACATTAGGGAAAGTAGGGTAAAAATAGAATGCATTAGCAGAAAATCTGAGTTCTTGGAAACTATCCCACCAATAATGGAGAAGGGTTTCTTTTTGATATTAGAACAAAACAGACCTGAGGATCAGTAGAATAATTTAGAAGATACAGACACAACTAAAAACACACTCAGCCACCTTATCTTTGACAAAGGGGCAAAGTATATTTACTGGAAGAAAAATATATTCTTTAATAAATGGTGCTGGCAAAATACCAGCAGCCCCTACGGCATTTGTTGTGTTTCTACAGCATCTGTTGTATTTGTTGATTTCTTGATGATAGCCATTCCTTCTGGGGTGAGGTGGAATCTCAGTGTTGTTTTAATTTGCATCTCACAAATGACCAGTGGTACTGAAGAGTTTCATATATTTATATAAATATATTTTATATATTTACTTGCTGTTTATTTGTATTTCTTCATTGGAGAAATGTATATTCATCTCAGATGCCCATTTTTGGAGTGGGTCTTTGAATTTGAGGAGTCTGATTTCAATCCTTTGTGTTCTAAATAGGAGTCCTTTGTCCAAGGGACAGTTGACTAAAATTATCCCTATCTTTGGGTTTTCTTTTCACTGTTGATTTCTTTTGCTGAGCAAAACTTTTTAATAAGATGAGATCCGAGATGTTGATTCTTTGATGTGTTTCCTATATACAGTTTGGTTTTTGTTCATGAATACCCTGCCCACACATATGACTTCAAGATTTCTACCTGCTTTCTCTTTCAGTAGATTTAGCACCTCTGATCTTTAATCAAGTTTTACTTTAGTTTAGTGCATGGTGATAGACATGGTCTGGAGCATTCAGCATGTGGAATACCAGTTTTGCCAGCACCATTTATTAAAGAGGCTATTTTTCTTGCAGTGAACATATTTGGCCCCTTTGTCAAAGATAAGGTGACTGAGTGAGTTTGTAGTTGTGGCTGCGTCTTCTAAACTGTTCCATTGATCTTCAGGTCTGGCTTTTTGCCAGTACCATGCTGATTGTATCAGCATATAGTAGTTTTATGGTATAATTTCAAGTTAAAGATTATGATGCTTCCTACCTTGTCTTTATTGCCCAAGTTTGTCTTTACTATTCGGTCTCTTCTATTTCCAAATGAATTTTAGGAATTGTTTCTCTAAATCTGTGAAGATCTGTGAAGTATGTGAGTGGTATTTTGATCAGAATTGCATTATATCTGTATAACAGTTTTGGGAATATGGCCATTTTCCCTATTTTAGTTCTTCCTATCCATGAGCAAGGAAAATCATTCCGTTTTCTGATATCTTCTTTGATCTTTGTTTTCAGGGTACTATATTATTTAATGTATAGATTACTTCTTTTGTTAGATTGACTTCTAAATATTTCTCTTTTTGGGGGGTACTATTGTGAAGGGTGTTGTTTCCCTAATTTCTCTCTCAGTGTGTTTGTGGTTTGTGTACAGGAATATTACTGATTTTTGAGTGTTGACATTGTATCCAGTTATGGTACTGAAGTTCGTTATTAATTTTTTTTTTTTTTGAGGAACCGGGGATTGAACTCAGGCCCTTGCGCTTCCCAGGGAAGCGCTTATTCTACTGAGCCATCTCCCCACCCCCCTGTTATTAAATATAGAAGACTGTTGGTGGAGTTTTTGAGGTCTTCCAAATAGAGTTTCATGTCATCTGTGAATAATGATAATTTCACTTCTTCCTTTCCTATTATTTTTTATTTCTCTCTCCTGTCTAATTGCTGCAGCTAATGTTATCAGAACTGTATTTTTTTAAAAAAAAAAAGAACTATATTGAGGAGAGGTAACAGTGGACATTCTTGTCGTGTTCTTGGTTTTAGATTACAGGTTTTCATTTTGTGACCATTTACTATGATGTTGCCTGTTGGTGTGTCATAGATTGCTTTTATCAAATTGTAGTAGGACCATCTCTTCTGATTTTTCATACAGTGCTAGTCATGAAAGACTGTTAGACTTTCTCAAAAGCTTTTTCTGCAGATATTGAGTTGATCATGTATTTTTTGTCTTTGACTCTGCTGATATGGTATATTACATTTATAGATTTGCATATGTTGAACCAGTCCTGCATTCCTGAGATGAATCCCTCTTGGTTATGGTTTATGATTTTCTTGATTTATTACCTGGATTCTGTTTACTAATACTTTATTGAGGGTTTTTGTATCTATGTTCATTAGAGAGATTGGCCTGTAGTTCTCTTTTTTTGGTTAAGTTTCTCTGGTTTTGGCATCAAGGTAATACTTGCTTCTAGAAATGAGTTAGGGAGAATTGCTTCCTTTCAGTTTCACTAAAGAGTTTCAGAAGTATTTGTGTTAAATCTTCTCTAAATTTCTTGTAGAATTCAGACATGAATCTGTAAGGACCTGTGCTTTTCTTTGTTAAAATTTTAATTATGTTTTCAATTTCATTGACCAGTATTGGGCTTTTCAGAATTTTTATGTCTTATTGACTCAGATAATTCATACATTTCTAGGAATCTGTGCATTTCTTCTGAATTTTCTATCCTATGAGAGTAAAGATTTTCAAAGTAGGTATGGAAGATTTTCAGTGATTTCACCCTTTTCATTCCTTATTGTGTGAATTTAAGTTTTTTTCTTTCCCTTATTGATAAGGTTGGCTAGGGGTTTATCAATTTTATTTAGTCTCTGAAGAACCAACTTTTCAATTCATTAATTTTTTATTGTTTTGTCTCAATTGCATTAATTTCTGATCTAATCTTTATAATTTCCTCCCTTGTAATGATTTTAGGTTGACTTGTGCTCTTTTTTCTAGAAGCTTGAGATGTAGCATTAGGGTGTACATTTGTGTTCATTCTGCTTTCCTGACGTGAGAATTTGCCACTATAAATTTCCCTCTGAGGACTGCTTTCATCACATCTGACAGGTTCCAATAAGTTATATTTTCTTTTTTATTTCATTATAGATGTTGTATAATTTCTTCTTTAATTTCATCTGTGACTCTCTGGTTGTTCAGGAGGATGCTATTTAATTTCCATGTGCTTATGAAGTTTTTGCAGGTTTTTTTTAAATTTATTTATTTATTTGTGTGTGTGTGTGTGTGTGTGTGTGTGGCCAGCTCAGCCCATCAGGGGGCGGGGCTGGCTGGCATGTGGTG